GTGTTTTAAACTAGTCCATTATATGCAGAATTATATTCTCTATCGAATAGAATACTCATTCTCTCTTGAATCAAATTTTCTATGACAGTATTGAGAGATCGAAAGGAAAAAACTCTTTTTCGTCTTTCGAAGTATTGCTGATTGCTTTCAATTAGCTCATTAAATACAGAATTTGATCCTCTATCGAATGGCATATTCAGTCTCTCACGACCATGCTTCCTAAATGAAAGATTCTCTTTTTAAGTACATTACAAAAGCGTCTTTATCGACTACTGTAGTGCTTTCAAGAAATATGTAATTGAATGACGCACAAATTTTCTTTATTTTCTGTCTCTTCTATGTAGTTGCATCAAAAAGAACAATGCAATTCTACTGAGAAGGTAACGCAATTGTCCGACAGCAATAAACTGTATGAAGGATATCATTGAAATGTACGGTTCAATATTTTCTTTCGTGTTGTCAGGCTGATAATGTGCCATAGTTTTTTCTTTAAAATGCCTTTTTCTAAATTATCTTTCAATATCAAGAATGGTTAAGGAAAGATTAATTGTAAAAATCCAATTATGCGTAAACCTATAACTGTCCGTTTTTAATACTGAATATGTTTAGATTTCGTCTGATTAACCTTTCAGCAGATTGCTTCTTTACTATTGTCATTTCAACAACACAAAATATGATATACTCTGGTAACTCATTCAATCTCTTTCCTTTCCCTTTTATGCCTATATATATATTCATGTTTATCGATATATTCTATTTTGTCTATCAAAAAGATATAATAATGGTTTCAAACAATATTTATTCTCTATTTATATCGTATAATGAGGTAAAGATCGACGAGCATATTCTTCTCGAGAATACCAGATATACTTCAATAGTTTTTAGATTAACAAAATTTTCGTGCTGTTATTAAGTTACTAAGGACAGTCATGTCCATATTTCTGTAATCTACAATGATGCTTTTGTATTTCTGATTTTATGATTGATTAATTGTTAGCCAACGAGAATTTTTCTCTTTTCGTGCTAGCTCGTCGTTTTCGTGCTAACTTCACATCAATAAGTTTAATTTTATGTTGATATTGAGTGATCGTGAGATAAAAGAATGAAATTAATCGTCATTTATCTTTACGTTTATATTTCCCATACTACTGTTGCGTCTTTACGATCTCCTTTTAGTTCATATCACGATACAATCTATGGATAATTCTACTAGCACAACTTTCTTCTTTGTATTATCTTTTTTTTTATCAGTCATTAAATTATTATATCGCAAGATTGTGCGACGAATTTTAATAATAATAAATGTTTTACTAGTGACAAAATCAACTGAAGACTGACTGGATTTGATATATATATATATATGTATTCAAAATCTATACGTAAAGCTGCATTGCCAATTAAAAATCTACAATTTCTTCAAAGTAAGACAAAATAACTCGAAATACAAAAGTGTACTTTTCTTTTTTATTCATATATCACACTCATTTATTCTTAAATGGAGAACAAGTTATAAATCACTGATTATTTTGATTGATTCTGGGAAAATATTAGTTACATTTTTATTAATATAGTATGGAAAATTATTCACTTCCATTAAAAAGACAGTTAACTTTTTTTTCCGTTTTCAGGTCGATCATTACAAACTTCGTAAACGATTGAATACGATCGTATCCGTAAAAAATACGGCCATGTCCGACCGTATTTCACCGTTTTTTGCCATATTACCTGAGGCCGTATTACGATCGTGTGTCTCCGTACCGTATACGGAAAAGTATGATTGTTTACGGAGAAAAACGGTCGTAAAAGATCGTATTTTTCCGTTTACGGCACGGAGACACACGACCGTTATACGGTCTCAGGTAATACGGCAAAATACGGTCGCGCGCGGACATATTTCTCCGTATATGATCGTTTATGATCGCGCTTGTTTGACCTGGGATTGACTGTAAATAGGAAAAAAAACGTTGGATTTTTTTCTCAGTATAAACACAACACGGGCTAACGTGGCCATAAAAAGAGAACAGAGCACGCCGTCGTTCGTACAGAATACGACACATTATAGTAAAAAAATGTGATTATACATTACATTTGATGGAGAAACACATACAAGCAAACAACATGTCTCTATTAAGTTTACCAGTCGAAATGTTACATCATATTTTTGATTATTGTGATATGATAACGATTCTTCTATCAATTCGGTCTGTCTGCAAATATCTTCATACTGCTACTAATATTTATAATCGATTGGAATTGAAATATGATCCATTTTCAACGTTGAAATATCATATACTTCCTCGTTTTATTATTCAACCTGAACGTATTGTTTCATTGATTATCATTAATAAAAACAGTAACAAATATGATGCACTTTCTTCATTCGACAAAATTTTCAACATTAGACAATTCACTCGACTTCGTTTCTTGACTCTTGATGGTATCGATTGTGAAATAGCAAAGAATTTTTTAGCGAAAATTTCTTCTGAGTCGTTGACTACGCTTTGGATTTGTATGAACGATGCAGAAACATCTATTCATATCTTATCAACTGCTACTCGATTCGATCTTCGAAAGCTCGTCCTGAATAAATCAAATTTAATAATGATACGCGATATTTCATGGCCAATACAATGGAAACTAAGGCATTTAGAAATAGGTATTTGTACTTCAAGTCAATATCATACTATTATCGAACAAAATCCTCATTTACAAACATTTGTAATGGAAGATTGTGTTGGATATCATGAAGATTCTCGTATGATGACAAGTAGATCATTTGATCAACCATGTGCTTCAATATTGAAGTCTTTAACTATCATGGGATGTTCTCTCAGTTTAGAAGAACTAGAATTGTTACTTTCATGGACACCGACACTTATCGATTTGGAACTCATTTTCCATAGAAATTTGTTTGATTCTGCATTGGATGGCTATTGCTTGGAACAAATTATCAAAAGCAATTTACCATTACTACGTCAATTTACCTTTTACCTTTCATATAAATATTTCTCTCGATCTGATAATCCTCCAAATAGCATTAAATCGATTATAGTACCGTTTCGAACACCATTTTGGCTTGAAGAAAAACGTTGGTATGTTACCTGTGATCACGTACTTGAAATGCAGGTGATCAGACTCTATACAATCCCAGCGAAAATTAAACATGAATCTACACTTTGGTACGACAACTTATTTGATAATATGCCATTCCATGCAAGGCGACTATACTTATACTATCGAAGACTAAACTCTGTATTCTCAGAACATGGAATGAAATATATGAATAATCTAATCCGATGTGAAATATCGTCGACAGATGATATCTGCCGACTTATTCGAACATCATCCAATAAAACAAATGAAGATGCCATACTAGATCTTAGCAAGTGCAATATAGATAACAATACGGTACAAGATCTCGCCGATGCTTTGGAGCAGGACAATGTAAATCAGTCTATTGCTTTATTTAAATATTTTCCAAATATTCATTATTTTTCTACTACATATAGACCTGTGTTACATTAAATCTGTCGAAGAATAGTATTCAAGATATTGGAGCTCAATATCTCGCTAATATGCTGGAACATAATACGGTAATTCCTGTTGCAATCTTTCCTTTTTTTTCTCTCAAAAACTTCTTTGTAACTATAGACACTCAACTCAATAGATCTTAGTGACAATAAAATCGGTGATTTAGGAGCTCAATTTCTTATTGAATGTTTAAAACATAATACCGTAATATGATCATCGTTTTATTTTGGTGAATATCACTATCTTTTCTTGTGTAGACACTCATGAAACTTAATCTAAACGGTAATTCAGGTCAGTCTTGCTTAGCTGTTGAAGCCATACTCAAAATTCGCACTGATGGAGTAAGATATTAATCTCCTCATTCTTTATTTCAAAGTCTTATGTACAGACACTGACGACACTAGATATTTCGAACAATCGAATTGGAAATATAGGAGTAGAGATTCTTGCTAACTCTTTAAAATTCAACACAGTAAGTTTTTTTTTCTTGTATATTCATATATCTTCTTGAAACATATAGACAACTACTGTATTAAATATCTCGAGTACTAATATCGACGACACCGGAGTTCAATATGTGGCAAATTTATTAAAAGACAATAAGGTAATCTTTCGATTGTTATCTGTTTTTTCTTTCTCTCTTATATGGAATCATTTCATAAATAGATACTCAATTCAATCGATCTAAGCAACAATCTCATCGGAGATCAAGGAGCTCGATATCTTCTTGAAAGTTTAGAATACAATACAGTAAATTAATCTGTTTTCTTTTGGATTTTTCTGATTTTCTTTACATAGACATTACTGACATTGAAATTAGGTAAAAATAAAACGTCATATTGTATATTTGTGGAGACCATTGTAAAGATTCGTGGTGATAGAGTAAGATTTCTGTTATTCTAAGACAATAATTTCATTGATGATTTCTTTTCGCATGCAGATACTTACCACGTTGAATATGTCTAATCATCGATTAGAAGATGACGATGTACGACTTATCATAACTGCTTTGAAAGACAATAAGGTATTTCTATTTTTCTTTTATGGTTTTTCATTTTTTTCCTGCTATAAACAGGCACTTGTTTCATTGAATATGTCAAAAAACCAAATTGGATACCTTGGATTACAACATCTCACTGATTTTCTACGTCATATCACGGTAATATTGTCTTTCTATCTAATTTTCTTACTTTGACTGACGTATAGACATTCACTACCTTGGACTTAAGTACCAATCAAATAGATGACAAAGGAGCAGAGATTCTCGTCGATATTTTACGAAATATATTGGTAATTAATATTTCAATTTTTATTCTTCATATTAATAATTTCATTTAAATAAAAAGACACTGACAACACTCAACATATCGAATAATCAAATTAGCAATCATGGAATAAAAAATTTAGCCGACGCACTAAAAGATAACAAAGTATATTAATGTTTTTGCCATCAATATTATAATTACATTCTGCTCATCATGTAGATACTTATCAAATTGAATCTTAGTAGTAATCAAATCGACGCTTCTGGAGCACAATATCTCGCAGAAGCTTTGCAATATAATCAGACAACAGTAACGAGTTTAAATATATCGAACAATTCTATTGGACCAGAGGGTGCACAATTTTTTGCTAATACATTACGAAATGCCTACATTCAGACACTAAATGAACTGATTCTGTCAAATAATCGAATCGGTGATACTGGAGTACAATATCTTTGTGATGCTTTAAAAGAAAATACAGTAATGTCCTAGCCGAAAATCTATTTAATGTTTCAATTTCTTTTCTATACATAGACATTAACAATACTTGATCTTAGTAGTAATCAAATTGTAGGTCAAGGTATATTACATCTAGCAGATGCTTTAAAGAATAATACAGTAATCATCTACCTCTTTTCTCTCCCTTTATAATATTCAATGTATATATCATGTAGACACTTACTACACTGTATTATCGAAACAATCGAATGCAATCCATTGACACAAAATATCTTGGTGATGCTTTGAAATGTAACAACGTGAGTGTTTTTTTAAATTGTCAAGTGTATTCAATGCTTCTTTTTTTCTTCTATGCATAGTCACTAACATCACTAAGCCTTCAATGTAATGAAATTGGTGATAATGGAGCAATGCATCTTGCTGATGCTTTGAAAAATAATAGGGTAATTATCCTTTTTTTTCATCGATCTGATCTAGAACACTGTTTTGTTTAGGTATTAAAAAAGATTTATTTGGGTAGAAATGATATTTCCACAAAAGTATGGGATGAATTAACATCGATTGATGAAAAAGAAGTGTTGAATTAGTTATTGTCTTCAATAAATAGTCATGAATCTTGAGATAACATTGCGTTTTTTTAGGGTGTGTGTTGGTATTAGCACGAAATACCCACACTCTCAAGAGGTAATTATAAAATTGAAAATGTTCCTTGAAAATTATTACGATAAATATTCCTGGTTTATTTTTATCAAATTGATCATTAGTAATAAATAATTATCTCATATAATTATAAGAAATTAAATGTATATTAATGTTATTTTTGATTAATCAGTTGGTAAATATGAAATTGTATTCTACACTATCTATTCGTTTCAAATGATCTTTGAAAATAAGAAAAATATGACTTGCATAATTATAATAGTACTTATGACAATGAATCAAGTTCTAAATTTGTTATACATGTAAAATACAAAAGTTTTTCAAATATTTTTATTATGTGAGATATGGCGAGAAGTATCAGTGCTATGTATTCTTTTTAATAGCGTTTTACTCATGTATATTTTGGTCGATCATTTCATGATGTACCATTTTTATGAGAAGAACATAGATTTTATCATCTGTATGAATAGAGATATGCACAAAATAAATTAATTTTTTTGCAAACATCTTGAAATACTCGATAGTTTTTCTGCAGCAACAATGTTCTTCTAAACTTTCTTCTATGGTATTTCATCTTATGATAGATTGTGATTAAATCACTCAACATAGATTTATTTATTTAGTTTATTTGTCGTTTGGTAAACTCCTATTCGTATTTTTGATTGCCTAGTTCTACAATTCCATGTTAAGCATTTTCGACGTCTAACTGTTCCTAGATAATACTTGAGGGTGTGGGTATGGATATGTTGAATACGGATGAAATCATATATTCAACTAAGTGATACACCCACACCCTCAATATCTTATAAAATATCTATATTTGATTTTGGGATCAGATGACAATACAGAGCTTGAATAAAAATTCATTTAAACTTTGCTAATTATCACCAAAAACACATTATTAATGTCTATTATGCACCACTTTATATCGATAAAGTAACCTTAACAAAAACTTTTCGTACAGTTGCTACAGGACTTTTATCGTTCTGTAGCCGACATCATTCTTTT